AACCCCCACCATTCTGTGATTCTTTGATACGCTAGTGCTTGAGTTAGCAAGGCAGCAGGGTTTTATGCCACACTGGATCAGTGTCAGAGTAGTCTTTTCAGAAAAACCCCAATATTCAGAGGGTAGCTTGTGGAATGGATAGTATTTACTCAGAAACCAAGTTTTCACAGGCAGTCCTGTGCATCTGTGCATATATCACTCAGGTTTTGGAAGAGTAACTTTTCTACACTATAGCTTGTGGTACCTGGCAGGTTAAAGATGAAATACGTGCCAGTAATCAGACAGCTTTGTTCCTGGAATATATATTGTGTTTGAGCACTTGATTTTTTTTTTAATCAAGGAATATACAAAACTTGCATTTCAAGATTACTTGACAACTCGTTCAATAATCTTAAGTGTGTGTGTGACTTGAGGAATTAACAAAATCTGTGATAGCACTGATTAAGGTTTGGGGAATTGGGTCACGTCAGTAGCTTTAGGTTTACAGTAGCTATATAGTCACCATTTAAAATTATCTATAAGAGAGGGTATTCTGGATTGGCTTTTAGGAAAACAGTGGATGAAAAAATATTTAAGGTATGTTTAAAATAAGCATAATCCACAATTATTTGGTGGATTTTCTTGTTAGCGAAGTATCACATGAAAAACTTACTGTAAAGCCGTGAATGTATATATATTTATTTATTTTAGTTGATTAGTGTTTTTTTCTAATTCATAGGTAGAAGAACTCAAACATTCACATAAATTGGAAGTAACAAATGTCAAACTGGAGGCAGCAAGAACAAAGAGTGAGGTAGAAAGAGAGAGAAACAAGATTCAAAGTGAAATGGATGGTAAAATGTGCAATCAATTTCTAATTATTTCTTTTGTAAAAGAAATACAAATATTGTTAGAATACTACAATTATTTTTTGTCCAAAAATTCCCCAGCAGCCTTCACCCTCTACTTCTGGTCTAGGTCATAGATCTGAAAATTAATTTTTGTATCTGAAATAGCTGTGTTGTTTCACTTGGTCTACTAGTGTAAGAAGAACAGCTAAAGAACAATTTTGTGTTTATGTAAATTAGTGAGTTTGTGACACCATTTGAGCATAATCTGTTTTAAATCATGTACTTCAGAGGGTTATTTTTTTCCTGTTATTGCCAAATTCTAGAGTCTTTTGCACTCTGCCTGAAACCCTAACATACCGTAGGGCTTCAGTGGTGGTTTTGTTTTCAGTCTGTGTCTGTGAAATTGTTAACTGTTAACAATTTCTAGCTCATTCTTTGAGGAAAATAGATGATGGTCGAAGCTACCCAATACAGCTGAGCCTGTAGGCAACCTGAAATAGCCTCTTGTAGTCCTAGTTATGTGCTGATGATTTAAATCACTACACAGCTTTTAAGTGGACTGTCCTCACCAATTTGCCATAACCCCAAAATAGGATCTTCATCTTCCTGGAATGGTTGTTTCTGTTCACTTGCATTAATATTAAGTTCTCTAAGAGCAACTGGTGTTTTCTCTATCAACAATGCACTTATACTGTATTTTGAATTAAAAATATTGGACCTATGAAATATGAAACTAAATACAGACAAGATTTAAGCTAATCTGAAGCTGCTGCAGAATCCAGTTTGCATCACTGAATTAGCTAAATAACCAGGAGTCATTATTATAGCATGTTGGCTTATTTGCCAGTGAACACGGGTGTCTTGGTCACAAATTTTTAATTTGCATCTTTTGTTCCTGCATATAGAGTAATAATTTTAGAATTGCTTCATTTGGTAATATGAGTGGATTAAAATGGGAGTTTTGTTGTACCCAGGTTACTGCAGTTTCACTAGTAACTCACTAGTGTTTACTATAAACTTTTCCATAAAAAGGAAATAACAAATTTTCTTGCTTGACCTTTTTGTAGCTCGTGGAACATGTTTTTTGGTTTTTTTTTGTAATCCAGACTCAACCATTAGCAGAAATTGCTTTAGAGATTAAATATGTAATAATACCAACTGTTTGATTACTTTTGTACATTAAAATAATAAACCTTGTAGACAGAGATTCCAATGCAATGGTTGCCCTTCAAAAGTTTTTTAAATGTTACTGTTAAACTTTAAGAAAGGCCACGTCTCTTCTGTTTTTCATGGGGATTTTTTTTCCCCATTCATTTGTTCTATCATGTCAATTGTGATTTTTATCTTCCTTTTATCAATTTATAAAGTTATTTTAATATGGGATTTCATCAGATTGATATCAATAATGACATTTTCATTTTTTTAATGTATAATGCAGGATTGCTGTCAGACAAGGAAATTCTTAAGGCAGCTGTTGAACGTCATAAAGTGCTTTTAGTAGAAAAGGATCGGGAGCTAATTCGTAAAGTGCAAGCTGCCAAAGACGAAGCTTTTGAAAAAATTGCAGCCTTACAGGACGAAAAGTATGTTTGTTGATTTACTGCTCAACTTCTAAAAGAGGAGTGTTTTGAGTAACTTTAAAAAACTGTCATTCTTAGCAAGTAAACACGTCTGGCTTTTTTTCCTGATTCTTGTGTACATGTTGAATAATGTCATAGGTTAGAACTCGAGAACAGATTAGCTGATCTAGAGAAGATTAAACTGGAACAAGATAGTTGGAGACAAACTGAAAAGGATCAGTATGAAGAGAAACTACGTGTTGTACAGATGGCAGAAGAATCTAGCAAAAAGGAACTTCAACGTTTGCGGTAGAGTGGCTTTTCTAACCTTAACACAAATTTCCCCTTTTTACCCCCTCCCTAATTTCTTTACAGCAGTCAGTATAAAAGTTTACTATACATAGATAGACAAATGTTCTTTGTGGTAAATTGAACAAAATTATCTTTTGCATTGTCTAAAAAGAGGGCAGAATTAAAAATGTGCTGTTTAAAATACAGTTTTTCATCCAAACATTTAAATTTTTTTATTTTAGTGAACATTTTAAAGACATAATTTTGCAGTACTCATTTGTGTTAAAATTGAGTCCATGTTGACTGCTAACACAGCCCCAGCGCTAGAGTGAACCATTTCTCTTTCTGCAATGGCACCATAACAGCACCTGACAAACTGGGACCTAATAGCCTATCTGTTTGAGTTGGTTATTATTGTTCTCAGTTGTTTTAGTGAAGTATTTGTATGAAGGCCAGTATGATAAAATCAGCAAAAGTCACACTCCAAAAGCAAACAAATGAATGTATTTCTTACTTCTATATGAATTCTAATAGTCAATAAAACTGTTTTTTAAATCACTGTTAAGTTAAATATTTATCATCCTTTCAAATTATGCAATATATTCTGTTGTTAGACTGATTTGTTCTAACTTATAACATCTATATTTTAATTAGATACAAATAAGGATGTCTTATACATTTTTAGATTAAAAATGCAACAGCAAGCTATTCAGACAGAGGAGTTGGAAGAAAAGAAACGTGAAAATGATGATCTGAAACAGGTAAGGTTTTGTTGCATTGTAATATTTTATAGAGAAATACAATCTTTCCTGCAGTTACTATGTCCAGTGTTTGAACATTAGATTGAATTTTTAAGGCTTTTTTATTTTTTCCTGAGGGACAAAATGTATACAACAGATATTTAAAAGTGAAAGTGTTCAGAAATCAGTCATGGTTTCCCAGACCTTTATAAATGGGTTACAGCTTTTTGCTTCGTGTGTTTTGTGGGTACCAAGGATTTCAAAGCTGGATATAGACTGGTATATTGCATGTGGTTATGCACTATTTAACTGGAGATTCAGTTTCCATGGAGACTCATAAATTGTTTCTAGGTAATGCTTTGCATTTACACTGCATCTCTCATCTGAGATTCTTCAAGTGCTTAACAGATGTTTCATAAATGAATAAACTAGTGTAAAGAGGTATATTCCTATTGCAGAGTGAATTGATGGCCGTGTTGAAAATAAAACCTAATTCTTTAATTCCTGCTCGCCCATGTTGTTATTTAGTAGATAAGAATTTATAGCTGTGCATCAGTCTGCAAACTGTGTGCACTTAGAGTTCAAGGCAGTATTTTTTTCCTTCAGAAATCAGAAATTGGGGTATCGGAGTGTCCATGTGGGGAGAGGAAAAGAAAGGGGAAATCGCCCTTTGTATGTGCTGGCTGCAGAGGTTGGACTTTTCAGGCTCTAGACTTGTTTTTGTGAAGTGGTTGGTACAGCCACTGCTGGCTCTAATGCATTGTGCGTTATGAGAGAGAAGAGGCTGGGAGCTCCACAGCTCTCTTACTACATCTTGGGTGGGGCTCTAGTTCTCTTCAGTCCTGGGGCTTAATGTGGGATTTCTTAAGTTCTGGGGGACACATTAATGATTGAAGACTCCTGCCTCCCTTTCTCTTTTGCATTTTAACTACAACAGAAAACCTTCTTTGTCTAGTGGTGTAAAGCTTCTGGAGAAGCTGTTGAGTAAGGAGAAAAGGAAGAAATAAGAAAGGCTTATTAGAAGCTAATACAGACAGTTGGTGTCTGCATTTTGCCCTATCTCAGTATCTCAAAATTCACTGTTATTCACATACCTTCTCAAATGGAAAAAATTCTTTTTTTTTTTTGTAGCAAATCCAAAATATGCAACTCCAGCTTGCCTCACTTTCTCAGTCAGAAAATGATTTGCTGGAGTCTAATCAGAAGCTGAAGGAAATAATAGAGAGGTTGAAAGAAGAATGTCAACATGCAAGGACTCAGGCAGAAAAAGCTCAACTGGAAACAGAGAAGTAATTTCTTTCTTCCTTTTGGCTTTACTTTTCATATTGCTTGTGCTCCTTTCAGGTGGATTACTTAACTATGAATTGTAGATGCTGAATAATGTCAGAAATTAAAAATTAACAGGAAATATTGGACAATTGTTAAAAAAATTGATATAGCTTATATTATGCAGTAAGTATAAAAGCTTTGCTTGTGGTAACTTCAAAATTAGGAGTTTGTTTCCATTCATATCTGTTACAATTAATTATTGTACACTATTTGTATAAAATGAAATCCTATTTATACTGAAGTGGATGTCAAGCTTATTAGCTTAAGTGGATCTAGAATTTCACACAAAGTTCTTTTAAGAGTGTTTAAGCATTAAGGGTGAAAAAAACATTTAAGCATTGTATTATGCTTTGATAAGGTTTGAGGGACCCAGTCTATATATGTGTATATTTTTTTTCCCCTCCCACTGGATCCTTTTAGCTGATATGAGGCAAATAAAAGCTTATTGGATAGCTTCTAGATGCTCTCATCAAAATTAAAAATAATCACTTTCCTTTTTTGCACAAACTTGACCCCATACCATCAAAATATGCTAATAAATGCTGAAGAAAACCAAATCGTGTTCAGACTCCATACAGCAATGAACAATTTCCTCAAATTTAAAGATGAATTTTTTAACTTCTCTTTTGCTACTAATGGGTACTGCAGTTGCTTTACTGTCATTAGTTTAACTATTGCTTCTCAGTTTATCATTTGAAGAAATTATTGCATTGAGACTGCAGAGTGTGTTCAGTTGTCAGTAGCATGCTAAATACTTTGAATGTTTACTATAGGAAAGTGTATTCATACTTTGAGCGAGATTGTCACTGTTACTTGAGTGAGACTGTCAGTGTCATTTGCATATTTATTTGCCATAGAGCAGTCAGGAGTAGGTTTTCCTGGGAAGGCCATGGAAGGAACTGGTAGTCCTCTGAGATCGTTGTGAAAGTGTGTAGGTAATGGGAGGTGCACCAAGGCTGATACTGCAGAAATTAAGCAGCTTTGGAGCCTACATGAAAGTCCTCCAGGTCTGTCCTGCTGTTACCCTGGGAGCCTTGGGACGTGTTCCCATTCTTTTTCTGACTCTGCGGGTGATAGGACTTCCTTCCTCAGTTCAGAAATTCTTCCAAGCTTGAACTCCAAGAATTAAGTTGCACCAAAGTGAGTTTGCTTAAAGAGGAAGTGAAATAAGGACCAAAAGATAAGAAAAAATAAGATAAACAGTTTCAGATAAGTGAAATAATGCCAGTTGAGCCATAAGTAGGCAAAGCAGCTGCCTACGTCAGTCTGAGGCTTGGAAATGAAAATATGAAATGAGAAAAAGGGCTGAAGGCAAAGTATGAGACTGAAACTGATCAGAGATGAGCGCAAACAGGCTCTCGTTAAGAATATCAGGAGCAGGATTAGTGGCATTTAAAAAGTAAAATCTCATGGCATTTTTAACCGCTGTCTCAACTGAAATTCTTTCATTGTTAAGCAGTGCTTTTCAAGAAAGCTCTTTGGTTCCTGGGTAGTAGTAGTTATTTAAAGTCAACAGCAAGTTATAAACCACACTGGGTCATGAACTGGGTCATGAACTGTGACAGGTACCAAGTGGCCCAGGATCCTGGCTCCAATATGGGAGTGAATGACTCCTAATGCTGCTACTGTAGGGAAGGGAAAGGCTGTTTGGTGAGAAATTTATGGAGCTTCATTTAGAGTCCCTGTAGGGAAACGGCATCAGCCCTGGACTGGAGTGGTATGAGTGCACCGATACCAAGCCTTGGACTGCATTTCATAAAAACAGCTGCACAGAATCTCACCATTTTTTTTTAATAGTAATGTAGTTAAATATGCAGTTAGTTCTTGTCTACTTTGACCCACAGTGCAGACAGCCCAAACAAGGCAGCAGAGAGAAACTGGCTCCTATCCTACCCACTGCTAGAGAACACAGCCTACTTTTAGTTTGTTTTAACTATGCAAAGGCCTAAACAGATAACATATGCTGTTGGTGGCATGTGTTCAGCTGGAATGTTGTCTCGGAACCATATCAGTAGGAGCTTCCTGTTGTGTTGGTGTTTGTTCTGGTCGGGAGCACACACTAGTCAAGTCTGTACTCCTCTGTTACAAAGGCGAAGTAGACCACACAGGACAGCAACTTGTTCTCTTACATCTTACCTCCCAAACAGAGCAGGCAGTTGTCAGCTCTTCTGACAACCGATGTTTGGCAGAGATGTCTACTCTTGTGTTCTGGTGTGGTTGTTTAATCTGAATTTAGAAATTTTCTGTGGACGGTTTGGCAACATGCCGAACCAACAGGCAGCCAACAATTGACTAGCTTATTTGAATCGGTTTTCAAAATTTGCCTCACGGTTGGAACAAAACCTAGGAAGCTGTTAATGCCCGTGTTCAAATGTTGTTGGTCACAACTAGATGGTTAGCACAACTGAATTTAAATCAGATACCTCAAGTATATCAAGGTAGGAGTTGTGAAAAGATGCATCTATTTTAAGAGCCTTAAGCATTAGTCCAGAGCACTGCTTTGTCTGTATAAGTTCTTAACCTTTTTACCTGAATTTTTAAAGGACTTCAGAATATAAACGTATAGAATGGCTGGAGGAGAAGCATGTGCTCACTCAGCGCATCACAGAGAAAGAAGAGCAGTACAACCAAGTGAAGAATAAGCTATGTCGAGCTGCTGTTGCTCAGAAAAAGGCATGTTGACTCTTCCTTTTTGAACAATCCAGCTTATGAAAAGTCCAGCTTTACTTTGACCAGCTAGAATTGTTTTAATTTTAAGAGTTTATTTGCAGACTACTGTATATAATAACAAAAGATAACAAGTTCTTCAAGGTTAGCATAGAAATAGGTTGAAATGATATGCAGAAGAATATTACAGCCAACAACTTTGTTATAATGCCATCAAAGATTTTGTGAGGCTTTTTTTATGTGTGTGTGTGTGTGTGTGTGTGTGTGTGTGTGTGTGTGTGTATACAGTTACTTAAGAGGTGGACTCCTTGATTAGTAAGGAGGATGGAGGATGTTTCCAATACTAGACAAGTGATGTTCTGCTTTCTCCTGTGGTATTTTTAACCACTGTCTCAACTGAAATTTTTTTATCTTCTTGTAAGCTTGCTTTTTATGAAATAACTTGAAAGGAAAAGCTGATTAATTGTTTATGAAAGTTCAAGATTAACTGGCAGTTTTATACATCAGACATATACAGGTTATGAAACCTACTGCTAGCTTTTAAGGTTGAGGTCAACATGAGCAAAAAAAAAAAAAAGCAAGCATACTTTTTGGGGGTCATGTTTATACTTATTTATACATGGTCATTTAAAGAAAAATTTTTTATTTCTCAAATACAGTTTGTGTTTGTTAGTACATTAGTCGCTGACCAAGAAGTAACTGACAGCTGTGCATCTCCCTGTCACAACTGTGGATCGTATCCCATTATGGGGATTCAGAAACTTCAAACAACACAGCGGTCCTTAAGGAAGGAAAATCCTAAAAACTGTCACAGCTTTGAAGCTATATGTGGTGTAGATTTAATTTTTATGGGATCTAATCTATCAAGGCATTACTTAGCTCTGTTTGAAATATCTGTTTGACAGAGAAAGACTCTCATGGATAATAAACAAAGGAGGATGCGAGAGAAACTAGAACTTTTGGAAGCCAAGATAGAAGAGCTAGAAAAAGAAAATCAGGTGCTAAATAGGTAATAAACTTTGCTTTTCCTTAGCTTGAAAAATGATATATGCCCAAGATCTGACTTCAAGATACTGAAGTAATTTTGAAGACACATGGCACTTAGTTTAGTTCAGTAACAGGAGTCCAGTCTAATGGCATTTTCAGCACTAGAGTTCTTTGAATAGAGTCCATTTAGGATGGGCAGCTACGAGCTTATAAGACAACTGCAGAGCTGCATCTTCAGGGAGAAATGAGGGAAAAATATCTGATAGGTAGAGTTGCAGGAATCCCTTCAAAAGAACAAGTTTGTAAAAAAAAAAAAAATCCCTCATTGGGCACCTATGGAGGGCTTGATTCAAATAATTAATGTGGCTCCTGTGGCTCACTACTGTGAATGCTATTGAAAGCTTAATTTATTCCATGTAAATTCTAATCTGTAGTACAGCAGATAGCTTAATGGGTAGAGGGACTCTTCCACCTTCCAGGTTTTCTGGCATATAGTTTTCCTTCTTTAGGTATAATAAGCAGTAGAGTACTTGTGGAGAGGTATGCTTCTGTGTTGGGATAACGGATTTTGAGCAATAAGAAATCTCTTATTTCCTAGGCAGAATGTTTCCTATGAAGAATATGCACGCCTCCAGAAGAGACTAAAGGACTTGCAACGTCGACACAATGAATTCCGGAGTTTAATTCTGAATCCGAACATACCCTCACTCAATCCAGTCAGCGTCATGTCGTCTGCCTTGCCTCCTGGGCCGGAAGTGTCCTTCCCCATTCTTCAGGTGGTGATGTATTGCAAGCTGTGACAATGCTACAACAAACAAGGATACTGGAACACTCCTTCATTACAGACCTTAGTCTTAAGGAAGGAGTATTTGATCTTTGAACAGAGGAAGGAAACTTTGAGGAATGCTTCTAGTGTTGTTCCCTTCCTTGCCATAGGAAGGAGTTCTCAAAAGACAAACGATAGCGTTGCAGAATATAACGAACAGAGAGTTTTAACCTGGTTCTCTGTACTTTGTCTCTCCCCTGAGAGGCTTTAAATGACTCCTTCTGGGCAAGAAATACCATGGTGTTGGTCTTGCACCATAGTTTCGTTATTAAAAAGCAGTATTGCTGCTCTTGATTTTTTCTGTGGTTAAAGGAGTTTTACTCCTGTGAGTTCTGAGGGTGAAAATCTCTCTGGCTGAGGCTGACCAGGCTGACTTTACAGATTCTTGGTAACTGAGACCTCAGGTCTGCGTGCCTTTTCATCTGGGAGGAGGAATGCCTGCACGCATATTTGCTGATGCTGTTCCTGATGCTGTTCATAATGAATGTCAGAGCAATACCCACAAAACACTGAGGAGTAAAATTAAACTAATAAGAATATTTTGGACTTCCCTATTTTTCTTTTAAAATAATTGATTAAATAAAATTAAATTATTGCTTGTTTTGGTCCCTTGTAAGTGTGCAAAATGTAATAGAACCACTTTTTTTTTTTTTTTTTAATTTCAAGGAGGAACAGCATCAAAGAGAGCTTTCCCTGCTTCGCAAGCGGCTGGAGGAACTAGAAACCACACAGAGAAAGCAGCTGCAAGATCTTGGACCATCTAGAGAGCGAGTAACGGTGGGCGCACACAGGGACTTGGCTAGAAACAAGATTGCTGGAGCAGTCGATGCACAAAGCGAGGACTCAAAATGAAATCTGCAAACGCTACATGCTGATAGTTTTCAATAGCTTAGCCTTTTTATGTGCTTTTAATATTTTGCCAAAAACATGCTTCTATGTGCCTGAATAGCACAGTAAAATATATTCTGCATAGTTTTGTATTTATTTTTGATAAGACTGTTTGAAATAATCAAATATAATGGTTTAATACAAAAGCATTGAATGATTAACTACACTTTGAAATGTTTTTATGTAAATTATGTGAAATTATTTGGAAGTCAAAATATAAGAATCTAATCACATGAAACTTTAAAATACATTTATCGATGTTTGGGTTGTGCTGACATTTTAAAAAAATTAAAACCTAATTTTTTGGATAAATCCTCATTTGATAATACCCTCTTACTCCTTCAGTGTAGAAGTTACTGTACCAGTGCAGAGTTTTGCTGGGTTGCTGTTTTGTTAACAATGCTGTAGTTATTTTGAAGTTCCCATGTAGGCAGAGAGGATGAAATTAAATGGAAAAAGTGCTGAAAACTTTTATTTGCTACCCTTGACAACGTGCCTCTTGTATTTTTATAACGGGAATAAGCAATAATCAGTTTTTTTAAAATATAATGTAGTAGAGGTGAAGTATAACAAATTATCTTCACATTATGAAAATGTACATTTGTATTTGTTGCTACTGTAATTTGTTTACTTAAGTACAATAAAATTATTTATTCAAGGTTGAATGTATTTATTTAATTTATTTTTTTCTCCTTCATTATCAATTTAGTAACAGAAACTTGTAAAGGATCACTTCACTTTTATGACTTGATAGTGGAAACTTTCCTGGATGTGTAGGAATTACTTTATCTGTGTTTATTTTTTTTTTTTTAAACACTGTGGTGAAGGTATTAGACAGTGAGATATGCAGTGCGATTGCATTAATAGCTTATTCGGTATTGTTTTTAGACTGCAAGAACAGCCAGCTGAGTAACTACTTTGCACATGGTGACGATGTCAGTGATTCAAGTTTTCTCTGCATGGGCTGCATTTTTTGTGTCCCATATGGTATGTAAATGTACAGATCATACTGTACTTTCTTGGGGAATTTGTTAGACTTCTCTGAAGAAAACAGTGGAACTGCTAGAAGTAACGGAAGCTCTTTCTACTGTCTCCTGCAGGAATAATTTGGAGAAAGTGCCCGAGCCAGCTTTGCCGAATGTGGTCGTGTTCACTAACGTTTACCTGTCCTCAATGGTTGCAAAGAGCCAGCTCCCCACCGCCTCGTGTTCCTGTCCCGGACTCTGGGTATGTGGGCTTCAGCAAGGCTGCACCTGCTGTCAGGGGGCAGGGCGGGCGGTTTGGCCAAAGGAGGGAAGCCTTGCAGGGCAGGAAAAGGGTACGAGCAGGAGGAAGACTGATGGTTATCTGCTGGGTTGTGGGCTCCCTCTCCCACTCTATCTCAGGCCCTTCTTGTGAGAGCTGATTTCCTGTCCCTGCAGCACCACCCCCTCCCCCCAAAAGAATGGTTATCAGTTTATCCTTGGTTTTAACTTTTTTAGCTTTTTTAAAGTATCATTGGCCTCAGAGCCTCACAGCTCCTGAAGGCTGCAGGGGCAGCGGGCACTGCACCCTCAGCCTGCCTCTGGCTCCAGAGGTGGGGAGGCTGCGGGGACCCCAGGGACCCCCCCTGCACCCCTCCCTGTCCCGGCCAGCGGGGCGCTGGTGGATGGGTTTCAGGCCTGTGCCTCTTCACCCCCAGCTTTGCTGCATCCTACCTGCCTCTTTTTGCCCTTCCCAGCCGCAGAAGGAGGGGAGCAGTTAGCAACTCCACTCTGCCTGGGAGCCCGGCAGGGCTGGAACTGCAGCAGCCCTTCTCAGTGGACACTGCTTACACTCCTTCCTTGCATGGCTCTGGCACCCCTACAAGCTGTGCTTGCTTTCTTCTAACCAGGAGACGAGTTAATCAAAATAACCAAATAACCTCCAAATGCATTTTATTCTGGATAAACCCGTACAAACACCAACATGTATTTGTCATTTGCACTTTTTTTAACCATTCATTTTAAACAACAGGTTAACTTCTGTACAACAGGAATTACTTTACACATCAGTAAGATTTGACTTTAAACTAGATGAGTGAAAAATAATGCTCTGTAAGCTAGTGTTAGAAAATATGCTGTTTGCCATAGCAGTTTGCCTGTAAATATGTGAAAATAAGTTAAAGAGAAGTTTGCTTTCATTTCAGAGAATGCTATTAGAATTGTTGGGTTGCCATAATACAGCTTTAGTCAGAGGTGGTTCTTTTTTGTCTGTGTAACAGGAACAGCGAATTGCAGATATGGAAGGTGTGTCAATGTTTTTTGTGTGCTGACCCAAACCTACCAAAAGAGCCACAATCACTTACTTATACTTCACATCACTTCTTGAGATCCACTTGATGGGTGACAAAGTCCCAGCATGACTTTAAATGGTTTACTAACAGAGTGACGCTGTTCAGGAGGCTTGAAGAAAAGGCAATAATCCTATTCCAGGCTGTAGGCTAAAGCTACAGGGCCTGCTTCAACACATACTTAATCTCTAGAAATCATTAAAGCTATCGTAGCAAACAAGCAGTAGTACAAATACAGAATAGGACTGATTTTCATTTCCTCATCATATAAACACATATAGTGAAGTTCACAGGATCAGACCCACGCAAACAGATTATATTTTACAGTTTTCCAAGCAGAAATTTTGTTGGGTTTTTTGTTTTTTTTCTTTCTGCCTGTACAGAAGGTTACTGTTGAGCAAAACTATTACAGTTCATTTAAATGCACTGCCAGCAAACACCTGAAGTGGAACGGAACGGCCGAGACATCCATCTAACTGGAAAGAGTAAACTGCTCATGCTCTTCCTTTAATATTAATTACTGTGCTTTTGTTTATTTATTTATTTGATGCTTCTTTAAAAGGTTAGAATGATAAAAACCAAGCCCTTAAGTACAGGTATTCTAAGCTGAAGTGCTACTCAAGCCACAGTCCACTCCTTTAGGACAGAGGGCAAGACAGGTTAGGGCTGGGGTGGGTTTTTTCCAGTTAAAATGAACCTTACTGCAGCATGTTGTGCCAGGCAGAGAAGAGAACTGCTGCAAGTACTGCAACTTTGTAGTGCAGTTTCCTGAACAAACCCATACATTCCATCAAGTATAAAGTGTAAACTTAATAGCAAGTGTAAGACTTGAATTAAAAAACAACAACAAAAAAAAAGCCGTCACAGTATGATTTGGTGGCTGCCCTCTCTGATACGCAAAAGGTACAATTTGTGCAATCACAGGGTAGGGAGGGGGCAGACCAGTAGGCAACGTGTTTTTGTCTTTGCTTTTTCCCACGTGAACAGGTGGCCTGGCTTCTGCCAAAGCATGGTTAGCGTTCACCGGCACTGGCCAGTCGTCTGCCGTGGGACTGTGCCTGGTACCAGCTTCTGGTAGCCACTGCAAGCAAAGCAAAGCAGCCAGCTTCAGTGCTGTCGTACTGCAGCCTCAGCTCCTTCAAAGCAGCACTGCACCCAAATAAATGTTGAGTGCTCTGCTGCCTGGGAGCCCTGAGCAGGCGTCTCTGGCTGGTCACAGCCCCAGCGCAAGCTTTCTATAGACACGTGGGCCATCCGTGCCATTCACGGCCTGTGGCACCTTGCCGCTGCCAAGCCAGGGGACAGCTCTTCCCTCTCCTGTGGGTCACGGTGCCTCCAGTGGTGGGTCCTTCTGGAAACGTGTGGAAACGTATCTCGGTCCCCTCAATGCCTTACCGCAAATGTAAGGGCAGGCTGCAGCCTTAGTAAGTGCCTCCGCGTGACTGAAGCAGCGTCTACAGCAGCAGAATGTTTCAGCTCTGTCGTGGAGGGCAGGACAGTGCTGGTGCCGTAGCAGAGCCAGAGCCACAGCTGCTCCTGCTTGACTTTGCACAGTAGCCACTGCAGCAGCCTCATCTCAGCAGCATGGCCACACACCTGCTTTCCAGCTGGGCTAACTTTGGCCACCAATGCAAAGGTAATGGACGCTCGCCTTTGACAATGGCTAAGCCTCAAAAGACCCCAGCAGGACTAAGGCAGTTCCTCCCTCCCCACCCCCAACCCTAGATATCGTGTTTGTATCATTTTCTCATACACAGTCAAGCGATTACACCAGCCCTCCTGTTCTTACATGTGCTTAAACTAACCCTCTTCTGACAAATCTTTTGTGTGGACAACCTGAAAAAAAAAAATATGCTGGCTTTAGATTTGTGAGGCCCTTCTACATGGCTGGCCAGGAATGTCAGCACTGACCCATGGGCGCCTGAGTACAGGTTTGTGCACCAAACTGCAGCCACCGGCAGCTGCTTCATCAAATCACAACGGTGTTCCGATGGGATGCAGCTGCTCACAAGTGTTTCACGGCTTATTTAAGGATGGAAAGGTAAAAATGTAAACACAGACTGATGCCGGTCTAGTGCCTTTCTACAAAAGCCTAGCCCCTGCTCAGTGGTTGGCTTCACTTTGCACGTGGAGTTCCTAACCTAAGGAAGAGAACTCCTGCCACTGGGCATTTGGACTTCAAACCTCAGACCCACTTTTTCTGCTAAACACATTTGTCCTAAGTGTCACTTTGGTGCTGGCTCTTTGTTTTTCTGTTTTGTTTTTGTTGGTTTTTTTTTCCTGCACAGGACCCAGTGTACACTTGTCTGGAAGGAAGGAAGCTGCAGCTGACCAGTATGCTGAAGCTGGAGCTCATCCTCACAGTTTGCCAAGGCTGCTGAAAGGGTGTGGTGAAACATCAGCTTTCTCTCTTAAAAAAAAAAAAAAAAAAGCGCTAACCAACTTACAAGTTCACATGGTTCAACTTGGAACTTGCAGTGTGTTTTGTGCATCTCCTATGAGCTTGTTTTTAAGTAAGCAGAAAGCTTACTTAGGCAGTATTTTTGAACCAAAAGGTATGTGTGCTCAAGTACCTCAAAATGCTGGCCCTGCCAATGCTAGACTCACTTTCACTTTCAGGTGCCTACATTTCAATATGTAACCCTGCTGGTACTTCATTCCCAAACGTAGATATTACTTGGAATGGTCAGAGTGGAGAAGAGCATCCAAATGTTTCAAACCCTGTACATATAGTCAGTCAAAACAGTTTTGGGAGCAGTAGCGCTAATTTTAAATCCCCCACAGTGATGCTGTGAGTCAGTGCTCTGCTCAAAGCCATTTGCATTTTTTCTTTTCATCAAATAAGGCTTTTACTTGCTGGAGCTGTTTCTGGACTTCTTCAAACCCCCGTTCTCGCTCGAGTTTGCTGACAATCTGTTAACAATTAGCAAAAAAGAGAATAATTTTTTTTAGCGCTTATTTTACTTGCTGTTTTTTAAAGTCTGCTTTTCTGCATTCCAACAACTACTGGCAGAAAAATCCATCTGAATGCCTGCCTATATGTAAACATTCTTTTCTAACTTTTAACGCTTTATTTTGGTCGTTTTCCTTTCAAGCTTTCAAGTCATTATGATTACAGGATTTGCAACACTTCCACAAAAGAATGACAGAGCCAAGCAAAAAAACCCCAAACAAAGCCAACACACGCTCATCTGCTGAAGTGTGAGGCAAGGCCAGCGCCAGATCTACCCTACAGCAGATTTGCAAATGATTTTTTATTTCTCTTCCTCTGCCCTATAAACTGAGGGCACTAAACTGCCTCTTGTCCTCTAACTGTCCCACTTGGCACTGGCCCAGGTGATAGGAAGGAGCATCGCTACTGTCTGAAAACTCTTTGCTGGCAACTCTAACAAGCAACTGAAGTCTCAGCAAACAATGAATGAGGTTTAGCTGCTCACAGTCAAAAGCCAGAGAGGGAAGAGCAGAGCGAGGGTTTCCTTCTAAGGATGGGGTCAGTTGAGCCCGTACTGGCTTCAAAAAAGCTAAAATGGGCACTAAGATAAGAAAAATTTCTGAAGTCTCCTGTGTCAGCAATTTTAATGAGCTTAATAAAGTGTAGTGCCATTCCAGGTATCTTCCCCAGCTTCTTTTAAGAAGCAGAGATTTGATGCTGAACCCAGACAATTTCAGATCTTAGAGATCAGAAGTGGTAAGCTAGCTCCCAGGCCACTGAGGGCTGGATGATTACAGCAAGGGCTGATGCTGCTGGGGATGAAAGAAAGAAATGTCTGGTTGCTGGGAGACCCAGACAACCTGCTGGAAGTGGTAAGGAGGCCTGCAGGCAACACACCCCAGCTGGCTCTGATCTGCCTCCCTGTGCAGGCACACGCAGCCTCTGCTGAGGATGCCGAGCAAAATGGAGTGAAGAATCCTACCATGCAAAGTGGAGGGCAGGGATTTCCTTACAAAGCAGCTTAGAGGTAGCCTGTAACTAAGTGCTTTCAGTTGAGAAAAGATTTCTTTTGATAGCCATGGCAGGGACTGGAAGCTATGGCTTCTTTTTTTTAAGAGAAAGACTATTAGAACAGGGTGTAAGAGGGCTATGTGATGGGAAAAGAGCAGACAGTTCTTGCTGTAAGGCTGAGCGTGCTCTGCTGAGGTGTTTATACTGACTGTTAAATCGAGATCCCTGGTGCTACAGTCTAATCTGATTTCTGAATCTCCAGGGAAATGGAGCACATGCACAGGAGCTGTGACAGGTATGAGCAGATACTCTGCAAACACAGTAAAACAAGAAGTCTAGACTATAGAGGAACTTTCTCAAAATTGCAGGGAGAATTTCATTGCTGCTACCTCTGTGAAAGACAGTGATGACAGCAGAGGTGCATTTTCAATCTTCTGGCCTGTGGCCCCTCTGAGTGGTGGGAGCTCCACCCCGGGGGGCTGTGCTGCTCTGGCCCCACACAGCTCAGCAGGAGGAGCAGCCTCTGGAGCGGGCACCCAGTAAGTCACGCCCTTGGTTACTCTGGCAAGCCCAGCTTTCAGGCCTGAGGCAGCAAGTTAGCGTTAAGGGTTAAGCAGGAAGAGCAGACATGCTTACCTCATCATAATACTTCACTATGTATCTGTAGATTTCAATCAAGGCCACTTTCTCATTAAATTCATTTTCATGTTTCTAAAACAGAAAACGGTTCTGGTCAGGTAGTTCTCCTTTTTTAAAAAAACTTAATATGAAAGCAAATGAAGTTCCTACTTCTCAACCATACCTTAGATTCCTGAGTTAGAAATTCTTCAACCTCTGAAGTGGTCAATGGAGGCAGATCCCTGATGGCTTTATAGTACGCTTTCACCTCTTTCTTGTAGAGTGGAATGTCCTTAGCATAGAGAAGTTTATTTGTTGGTGCTTCCTTAAAAGAAAATATTTGAAGCCTTGTCAATTTTCACAGCACAGATTTCCTAAGGTTCCACCTCCACATAGTTAATTGCATCTAATTGTGTCTGTTCTCTGTGTGACTCATGTCTCTTTGCAGTGGTTATATGCAAGAAATTAAGGTGATGAAATAAAGATGAAGAACAGATGCAGGACCTCAGTAACAGGGCACTGTGTTTCATGACAGTTGCCATATTATTATTTCTATTGGCATCAGGAGTGATGAACATTTGTCCCTTAGACACATTTTTCTTTCTTACTTCCTCCTCACCCCACCCCAGACCAGAAAGATTGTGCAAGCTGAAGGGAAGGGCTTGAGGCTGATACCCTATTTACATACAGGATACAGAAGTGCTGAGGCAAGTTCCCCTAGGGTAACATGGCAGACTGCCTTGCTAGATCCTATGCTGGCAGAGCTTCCCCTAAAATATTATGGTCTCTACTACTCCTTCCGCTCTGGGGTTTGAGAGCGTGGAGAGCTGACCGTCAGGCATGCACAGCAAAAGGGATTCATTTTTTTTTTCCCCAGGGCTTCAACAACCCAGGTCAGCACTGACCTACCAGGCAGCTTTAGGCTCACCTGAGAAAATAAATGCTGATGTTTGTGGTAGGAGCCAAAGCCCCACCTGGAAACCATGTTTTCAGGATGTAAAAGTGGGGGCTGGTAGTTTCCTGTCATTGCTCTAGTTTAAATCTGGGGAATAAATGACACAACCATGTGATATCTTGTCACTACTGTTTCCACTGTGTGATGAAATTATTTAAAGTTTTTTTTTCTAAGTGGCTAAAGAATGTCTTATGATAAAAGGCTAAAAATCATGAAAGTAAATACATTTTAGTACGAAAAGGCCACAAGATGTCTACTGCATTGCAAACCTTTATCAATCAGGTTTCAACGTCCCTTTTCAAATGGTTAATGGGAACTGATGTATCAACAGTACTTCACAATGGATGGTAAGCATAGAAGCCTAACAGACCAATATCATTTACAGTTTTTCCATCAAGTAAGTAATGCAATTAGTTTTAATTCCTGACACCTCACTCGTAAAACAAGATAAATAAGCACATTATTTGTTCTTTATCTTTAACAGATGAGCAGTTGGTTCATATTGCATGGGAAATTAGTCCATTATTAAATACATTTTTTTTAGGCTAAAGAATCTCTAGCCTGTTTTTCTTAGTAGTATGAGCCTGAACAAATGCTTCCAGCTTTGGTCCAAAGAAAAGGAAAATATCCTCAGGAAAAATGAAGTATTTCTGATCCCCAGAGTTCTGGACACTGTACTGAAGAGCTTTTGAATGTAAGATTTCTGGACTTGTTACTCCAGCAAATAATTTTTCATATAAAAAGGGAGCAGCTAATACATGTGAAAAAAACTGTTTCAAGCTTCAGAGCTCTTTCAAGTATTCTTACAGCTCCCAGTAGCTTATGATGTGTGTTTTCTGTACATTGGTATGTGGCAGACAAAATTTGTACTACATATCAAATGATGCTAATACTTTTAAGACCTTTGTTTAGAAGTTCTTTAAAACTTCATTAAAATCTTACAATTTCCACCCTCTTCCACATACTCTATAACCACACTGTGCAGAAACAAACTGTAGAGAAGACAAGCAGCAGTTAACTATAGATATGGCATTCTAGGAGCTGCTTCTGTCTACTCCAGTGAATTCTTCAAAGTCTTTTGAGATGCAGCAACAAGGAATGGAAACGTAATTTAATTAGGCCACTAACAGTTCTGCTCCCAGCATCAGTGGATCCAGGACTTCATCCCCTAAATCATTATTCAGTTGAAAAAGACATGGGTTGAGAAGTTAGCAAAAGACTGGAAGGGCAGCATTACCTTTCCCAGTGTCTGTTCTGCTAGAGAAAAGGCATCCATGAAAGCTTGTGCGATTACAGACAAACAGCCATCTATATGTGAAGTCTTCTTAATATCAAAGACAAACTGGGGATTCTTCAGTATGTTCACCCAGAAGCGAAGAGGAAGACTAGACAGAGAAAGAACAAGCATCTTTAAAATTAACCACACGGGTCGCACAACTGCTTTAAAATTACAGTTTAATTGCACTGCACTAATGGAAGGAAGCACGTTTCTGGTCTGCTTATTCAAGTTAAAAAAGGAATCAGGGAACAAAGGCTACAGAGCAAACACATCAGTTAGTCACCCCTCCATCTTCAAATAATGCTCTCAACCTGCAGATACTTCTGAGTCTGAAGTCAGTATGCAGGCTCAGAAGTCCTAGAAGCTATGGTGGTTCTGTTGGTAACCAATCAATATACTAAAATCACTGGGATCCACAAAGCTAAACCATATCTTCACACAGACATGCCAACAACTTACTCTTTTGATCACAGGTGACCTGTTCCATCTTTGCAACCACATTTTCAAAGAGTGCATACACTCCTGCACATATCAGATGGGCATACCTGTTGGTTTTCCATATATGGACCACATCAGGATCAGTAATTTTTTTGCTCTCAGCCTGGGCATCCAGAAAGTCAAAAAAGTACTTGATGGCAACAGGTGCTTTATTGTTGGGTAAACTCCAAATGCTCCTGAAGAGCTTTTCAACAACTGAATGAATTGCAACCTGAAAAGTAAGAGAATGAATAGTGCTATTATTACACAAGAAAAGAACAGGATTTCTCATCTCAGAGAGCTGAGGGTGCCCCAAGGCAACCACACACGGAAACTACAATACGCTTGTGGCAAACATCTAGGCCATAGGTTATGGGTAAAGAAGACAGTCAACAACAAAAATGAAACTACAAGTACACCATAATGAGCTGCTTTCAAATGTCACATGTCATAACACTTTACCAACAGGAGAATTGTGGTGAACTTTGTGATAAATCGTAGGTGGAAAGAATCACTTGTTGAGTTTTCTGAACAAAGACAACATCAACTCTTCAGATACTGTTGGCACCATTGCTAAAGGCATTTGGAACTTGTGACTGGAAGTAAAAGACGGGTGAGCAAAAGGAGTTTAACAGTTTTCTAGGGCACTGGTCTTCATTATGCCATCTGAGACACACGTTGAACACATGTGCTCATCAACACTTCACAGCCAAGCGACGGTGGTGCTTGATGTAATTCTAGGATAACAGCTTTGGGTAGCATACAAAGACACTGACATTAGAGAAAATAAATGAAAACTGGGTATTTCTGACCTAGCAGTGAAGCTATCTGGCTCACAAAAGCAAGGGCTTGGTTGCTGATGGACTCACTGACATCATCAGAGAGTAATCATAAGTAGAGGCAAACAAAGCAAAATGCTGTTTTGTGCTTTTTTTCTTCACCTCTGTTCTGAAGCTCAGTTCAGCCCAATCTTCTCTCAACAAGAAGGATTTCAGTGTATCCTAGAGCCTTGATGTGCTACTGGCCAGTTCACCTCACGCGGCAAACTCTGCAGTTGTGTCTGTGTGCGTGTGTGGGTGTGGGTGAGAGACACACACAGAGACATGGCTCAGTGCAATCTCCTTCAGTGAGCAGTGTACCATGGGTGGAATGTCACAGTGAAGGATATCACAGCACTGTTGTTCAGAGCACTATCATACTTTGGAGAAAGAGATGATTAATTTAAAGCCCTTTAAAAGGACTGTTTCTCAAGAGCTTGATCTTTTGTTTTGTACTTCAGTCTTCCACCGTAAGATATTACTGGTTTATTCCAGCAGTTCCTAAGGGCTTATGTTCCTTTCCACAGCTAATGAGAAATGACCAGTCTTCACTCTCACTTTGGGTAGCGTTCCAAATTACTTCAGATGCTATCAACAATCTAATTAAACAATGATTGATAGATTTTTAAATGCAAGAAGGCCATAACCATCATCCCTTCAGGCCTCTTGTATCGCACAGCTCTCAGTGTTATGCACTGATTAATATTTTACGTAATATGCTGTTGCAAAGAATTTTCTAACCCTTTTAAGTAAATCAGAAACAAGATGACATTACCAGAGGGAGTGAGCAGGGCTAATTGCTAAGGAATGTGCATTGTATAAATAGGGTAATCGTATTTTAAATCCTAAGGACCTTGTTTTTAAAATTAATCTAGTTATTTCAGATGCTTAATTTCAGACCCTGGAAGGTTATTTAATTTCATGGCCAATATTTTGTGAAACCCAGGCCTTGGAAGTCGTCTCTAAGCTGGGTAAGCTCTACTAGAGAGTGAGGAGATGTTGACTGTCTCTCTAGGTGGGACTGTTTTCACTCTGTGGGACTCAGTGGCAAAACTGATTTTCTGTGAGCTCAAGAACTACCTTTTTTCTTTAACCTGAGAAAAAGATTGTGCTTACTAAGGAAACAGAGAATGTGAGTAACAGACAATTTTTGAACTCTAGCATTAGAAAACCTGAAATGTGTCTGTCTTTGCAAATGGTCATTATCCACAGTTAGCACAGTGATTTTTATAGGCTTTATATTTAACATTTGATATACGTGCAGGAAGTCTGCGCAATTTCTGCTTAACTATTTCTGTTGTGCCAAACTAGCCAAGCCTAACATCAGCCCTCCCCCAAAATAAAGCCTCTACAGTTTACCTTGGTTGACAGAAGCTTTGTCAGATACATTTCTTTCACTTTGAATTTTTGCTTTCCTTTGTGACCCGCTCCCTTCACATCTTTGTTTGCTTCGGAGTCTGGTAAAATCTGTCATGAAGAGATTAGAGAGATTACACAGATACAAATGCAGCTCAGTATTAAATCTACCACAGAACAGTGTAATGACTGAACTCACCAAATGACAGTGTTCATCCGAGTAGTCCACGTCTAAACAACAGAAAGCAGAGAGCAAACAGGGCATTAATGAAACACACAGCTACAAGCTTGTGAATTCTGCTGGGCTGTGCAGCAGGGGGCATGTCAGGATGCAGAGCAAACAGGCTCGGTGTCACACTTCCCTGCCTGCAGTCTGGGGGAAGCCTCTGAGAAACACACAGGTCCTGGCTCTCCTCCCCAGTGCCAACCTGTAGCTGGGACCACTAAGCTTGGGCATCATCATCTGCTGCTGGGATAAGCTGGCAGCAAATCACAGCTCCTCTGGAAGGAGGATGCCAGATAGCAGAGGAGCTGATTGAATTGGTTTAGTCTCTGCTAAGAGTAGTCAGTGCACGTGGGCTGAGGTCAGGCTTGAAAGCAATGGCTGAGAATGGAAAACCCTGTCTTGCTGAGGGAGAGAGCAACGCCACCCCAGTGACGTGCACCTCAGGAACACCTCTCTCCTAACTTCAGATGTCCACTTTGACAATGAGGTGAATCACATGCTAGAAATGTCTTTTTCTCCCCAGGGGTAGACGACATGAACTGACCCCTTGTAAGCACCTTTTAATTCATGACCTGCTGCTGAGACAGCCAAGCCAAAGCTTTCAGAAACAGAGTCAAGAGAGTAAGAAAAATTCTAAAACTGCATTTTTTTGTTATGCCTGTCTCTGGACAGTGCACCACTATTGTCCATAATGCACAACGCTGGCCACTGGAGCACAACATGTTTCCTGTGGTGGTCTTACCAGTCAGCACTTTGTGTCCCTCAGGCTTCCCTGCCCTGCTTTCCTGCCCACGAGTCTGTATCTTTAAGCATTCATTTGCTGAGGACTGTAAGTCCTTCTGTCCTTCTTTCCTTCGCCTTCTTCCCTCCTCCTAGGCCCACTGTGCCTGCCAGAGGCCCAGAGCCAGGGTAACACGGCTCTTCATTTGGCTCAGCTATACCAAAGTGCCCATTTTTCTGACCTCCTATTGACCAAGATACAACCTGTGTTAGCTCAGCTCTCCACATTCCCAGCCTTCTCCACAAAAGATTAAATAGGTTGCAGTTCCTTTGTTACCTGATCGGGAATTTGCCTTCTTTTTAAAGACTCTTATGGTTGCTCCATTTGAAATCTGAAAGCAAAACCAAACATATAAAGCTGAAACAAAAGTGTCTAGAATTCATGAAACCCTCAGTTTCATTTCCTCTGTCCTTAAGTCTGTGGCAGTGCTGGAGTGTGTGAGCCCGCTTCATTCTCACCGCGGTGCGCAGGGCTCTCAGCAGGCAGCCAGGGCCTTTCCTGGCAAGGTGGGAAGGCAGCTCTTCTGACAAACCAGCCTTTAAGGCCTTTCTATTTCTTTGATTTTACTGGTTCAGCCCCTATTTGGACATTTTAGTTTTCATGTACTGCTTTGTGTGGCCTCTTGCATCCATCTTTCTACAGATTGCCTGGGCTGAATTCTCTGGCTCCAGTGCAATAGGATCTTATGGGTAGGTGAGGCAGGGAAGGGAACACAGCAATTATTTCTCTTCCTACCTTTCTTCCAGCTCAGTCCATTCCAGCGCTTTCCCCCCATGCCCTATGGAGGGGCCATGTTGAGAGTCTAGCCTGGTGCTCCCGAGAACTATTTTCAAACTTCAGTTCTCAAAGTGAGCAAAATATTTATGCCTCGTGGACTGTACAGTCAAGATCCATATCTAGCCACCTTGGGATTTTTAGTGAGAATCTTCCCCCTTCTGTCCCTGAATTTATAGTGCTGCCAGGACAGTAACTATTATCTTTAAAAGAAACTGGCAAGTCATGCTTTTATTGTCAAAGAGTAACTCAAAAATGGCTCCCACTGAGAACTACACCACTACTCTGCTGTCAAATGTTGCTTCTTGCCAAGTGCTAGTATACTTCCCTCTATAATTACAAAAACAACTGGCCAGTTCTAGGAAGGGATTTCTGCCAAAATAATTTAAGTGTTTTTTAAACTTTGGCAGCCAGCCCAGTGTAAGAAACCAGTTTAAACATGAAGATACTCTATCAAAAGCTGTGTCTTGCGCCAAAGAAATCTGCACTTACACTTGCTCCTGGAAAGTAAATGCAATCTATTTTTTAAGTATGATTTTTTTACAGGGTTTCCGTTTATCATACAGTGTTTCAGAGCTCTTTCAGATAACACAGAGCACTTTAAAACCACAGTACAAGTGGGAATATGCTTTAAGGCTAGCTTGTGAGGTGACACAAGCACCCAGAGAGAACAAGAGTCCTCTTACTTGGCCCAGGAAGATAGGTAGACAGGAACAGGGCTACCCAGAAGCTTACCCCCTCCCAGAGGGGGGGGGCCACGGTGGGCAATGTGCTGCCTCCACCCCCTCTCCAAGAAGCAGGAGAGCAGCTCAATGCTGAAATGCGTCAGCTCCTGTCCTGAGGGAGATGGGCAGAGCTGGGAGAACTGTGCTTCCCTCCAGGAACCAGAGGCGTTGGTGCAGTGCAACCATGATCCAAACCCCCACTTTGGGTTTTATTTCCGAGACAAATGCTGCTTTTGGCACTGAGTGAAATGTGTTTTCTCTTCTTTGTCATTACTGCACCGCCATACGTGCTGTTTCTTTCAGATCAATTAAAAAAAAAATAAAATAAAGCCCTTCTTTTTGGGTCCTGCTGCCTGAACCATTTTTCATGGTGGGCTGCTCCCATGGCCACCTCAAAACATCCTTCCTTCATCAGGTGCGTTACTGAGGGGGACAAACAGAGAGGGGAGATCCACGTCCATGCAACACAGAGTACAGCTAGTTTGGAAAACAGGAGATACAGTAGTGTGGCTCTACACCTCTTCCTTGTTTTCTGGGCCTCCTACCCTCCCTATACTCCAGTCCTGTCCTCCCTATACTCCAGTTCTGGTCACACATTCAGATTCACTCTCTGTGCTGGCTCCTGAAACATGCAGTTCTGCTACAGGTTGAAAAATTTGAGATCTGTAACTGGACAGCAGATCTGAAAGCAGTTCTCTAGCTTTCTTATTGTATGGGAAATGGGACGTCATGATAATCAGGAATTTTCTTGTCAAGGCTTGTGGTTATCCTCATGCAAACAACAATGCAGGCCTCACAAATAATCACATCAATAACCCTCCTAGGGAAAAAAATTGGAGCAAGTGGAGCACACATGTCAGAGACACATGGAAGTCTAGTAAAGAGTATAGTGGATGTTTTTCCCTTCAGAAACACATACAAAAACATGAACATCTTCTACTTGAGCATTTTAAAAATCAGTGTAGAAACTAAGTCAGCTTTTTCAAGAGTGACTGGTGATTCTGGGACCTTTACAGCACAATCCTCATGCTCAAGTATCTTAAAAAGACTTGATGGTACTTCCCAGTTTCCAAAATCTGGTTACTTTCTAGCATTTAAGGCTGGCAAACAAAAATAAAAATTCAAGCTTGCCGCAAAACTCCAGTCGCTGTTGAAATTTAAGTTGGAATTCCTCAGGCAACGTGACTACCCTCACACTGTGTAAGCAATCCTCCCTTTTCTTGCTAACTAGACACCTTTACATTCCTTTTTGCATTAATATGCATATAAGAAAATAAACTACATTAGCTGATACTTGCCCCTAAGCCACTCCCTAAAATGCCACTAAACTTCTGCCTAAAATGTACCTTATTTTGCCAGTGTCAGAAAAAGTGCACTAAAATATCTAACAGAGATACCCAGCACAATTTCCCTAAGGCAGCTGCTAAGCTATAATTAGTGTAGTTACAGCTTTGCAAAAACAACTGAACCTCCAGCCTAACTGGCATCTGCCTGCAGAAACCACAGACAAAAACAAGGGCTGGGACAAAGATGCCTGGGGATGACAGCAACCGACTGGAGCAGACTCATTTGCCATGAGGTATGGCACCCATGAGCCACAGCATGCCATGAGCTCAGGAAGTGCAAACAGCTGCCAGGTAAAATTAGGGAGCACTTGCAATAGCTGCCTGCAGTAAAGAGAGTGAGTACTATCACACTGGACAGAAATTCAAATATCTAATCAGATACAAATCTAGGTTGACCTTTGCTGCACAGACTGACTGCAACACTACAATGTCCTAATTTGTACAAAGCCTTTACAAGTGGAGTGGAGGGAAGTCCCACGCTAATCTACAGACAAGATTCAAGAGAGGCACAGGAAAAGCTGTATTTAAGACACTGGACAGTGACTCAGGACATCTGGGTTCACTGCTGCTTCCCCGGGAGGTAAAGAGAGCAACAAACGCCTACAGAAATCTGTGAAGTGGCTCCAAATGAGCTTGCTCCAGATCTGCGTAGCCTTGTGCTGCGCCGAAGCCACAAGCAGTCCTGCTAGGAGCCCTTGTTCCTCTCTGTGGATGGCACTGTACTTGCTTGTGCAGACAGCAACGCGCTCAGGCCTGGCTTAGGTTTCTCAGCACCGTACTGCATTGCTTGACACAGATATACACTCATCAGCAAAACCAAATAAATCAAAACTGATTTCATGTTACAAGACAGACTTTCAAATTCAACAAGGGCATGAAGAAAGCTCACTAAAAGCACTCAGCATACCAACTTCATTTCCAAAATCTATCTATAAGCATGAAAATGCGAGCTACCATATCACCTCAGGCCAATCATCTGCTGCACATCTTACCTCAGCCTCTCACCCTCTATTTTGACCAGTGTCAGTGGAAACTCCTTAGACAGGCAGTGTTGCTCACTATGCTTTTGCAACTTGCTACACCCAGAAGGGCTCTGCCACCAGCTGCAGCCCTGTGTGTTGTTCCAGTGATGGACAGATTATTGCAGCATTGAAAAGGGCTGGTTTACAGATGTAACTGGGAATGGAAAAATTGTGGTACAAGTGGTGCCAGTAGATGGAAGCAGAAACAGAGAGAAAAAGGGAAGGTTTCAAGAGAAGAGCAAGCAAACTCATCAGTCCTTTTTATTCTGACTCTCAATGAGCTGTCACAAGTATCACTACCACCTGTTCAGATAATCAAAATATGAGGTGGGCAGAGGTAAACAATTGCTCATGGTGAAACCAAAACTCAGCAGCAGAGACTAGAAAAGACTCAAGGCAATGTTCCTAGTTGGAAATCGGATGCTGTTATAACTGAAATGCTCAACTGAAGTGACAGTTTACCTGGCGTGCTTGAACCAAGCAACCCTGCAACAAGCAAACCTCTGAAAAGTAACAGAAAACATGACTCATTGGCAAGAAAGTTGTGTCACACCTTTCTTTCCTTCTGTTGATCATGCTCAGCTATCTGTTCAAGATTTTGATCAATCAAGATAACTTCTGTGCAGACAACATTTGGGAGTTGGAGAGAAACTGCTTCTCGATTCATTGGTATGGCTTCTGTACTCACCTCATAATGACTGATGGTATTTAGCTTCCTTATCCCATCCTCCATCACCTCTGAGGAACCATCAATATCTAGCAATTCTCTTTGCTGCTCCTCAGACACAAGTTCTGCAGTATGACAGCAAGAGAAAACAATTATATCCCAATGGCATTCTCACTGTACAGATGTTTGCAAAGAAAAGCAACACCTAATTATATTTGGACCAGTGGCTCCCAACTGAGCTCTGTTTCTCTCCATCCTTGTGCTAGGTCACATGAGAGTGGTTTTGCACTCCCACACTACAGATTCCTTTTCTGGGGTGACAGCCTGGATGGCTTCCATTACTGCAGGCTATTGGTGCTTCACTTTGTGTTGGTCAGGGCAGAGTTTTTGGAGGTGCTTTCACCTAATCTAGCTCTTCTGTTGCACAAGCGTGCTCTGGTGTTATGGCCATGTTGAGATCAGAAGAAAGGTTTCACAAGCCACTTCTAAGAGATCACCAAAATGAGTTGTACAAGGCTGACATAGTATTTGTGAAGAGTGGTCAGGCACTGGTGGTGGATATAACCATCAGATATGAGAGTAAATCATCATAACTTGCTGACATCGTGTGTGAGAAGGTGAGGAAATATCAACATCTTAGGGAGCAAGTCCAGGAGGCGACAAATGCCAACAATTTAGTTTGTTGGATTTCCTATTGGAGCACATAGGAAGTGGTATGGTGGCAACTACAGGCTTTTATCTGATCTTGGACTTTTGAAAACCTGACAAGAAAAGGTGGCTTGACTCATCTGCTGGAACAGCCTTGTTTACATTTGTAGATATTGTACATATCTTAGTGAGTCACATGCAAACTATTATATAAACCTAATCTGGCTGTAAATAAACTACATTTATGAGTTCTCCTGATCAAGGGAAATGTAGGCCTGTTGGAAGGAACAGTGGTAGGAGGGATAGTAGGTAGGGACTAAAATACTTGGTAACCATGTGACATGTCATCTTACTCACTGACAAAATTTATCAATCAGCTGTACTTAGGTGGACAGGCCACCTTATTTAATCCAGAAAAGGAACATATAAATTATATGTGTTTAATTAATAAAACGTGTTTGTTAACTACATCCTGAAGTGCAGAAGCAAAACCAAAGTGGATCCAATGTTCTAACTGGTAGCATAAATGGTCTAGTATTTCCCCAGAAATTCCTTACAAAAGCTGTGTTCTGCCTAAATGCTACAAAAAATCAAAGCCAAAGGTAGGAATTCCTAAAAAGAAAACTCCACAGACAGACCAATGAAGTCCATGAAAATATAGCATAGTGACACTTTCTTACCAAGACCAATTTCATCCAGCTGAAGACCATAGAGAAAGCCATTCTTATTTAGGAAAGCCTGAAGGCTCTTCTCCTTGGCTTGACCTATGGTGTCGCAGTCCAGAACATTAACTTGGATAACTTGACAGGCATCTCCACTCTCATTTTCTGGGATTTTTTCAAAGATAATGTTCACTGTCTGGGGAAAGAAACACATGTTATTCTGACTTGCAGGGAACACCTGGCATGGCAAACCTACAAACTCCTGACAGCAAACCTGAGAGATTTTTAGCATATTTATTATTAAAGCTATTTCAAAAGAAGATTATTTGAAGGAATTACACAATGAAGCATTTAGAACTCCTCGAGTCTGAGAATCAAAGATATATATAGCTATAAATTTCCAAAAGTGTATTTTGCGTTTTGCTTTTGTGCAAATCTATTTCAGTGAATTATCAAAAAAAGATAGGACACTAGGAAAAATTACAATGCATACTCTAAAAAAGAGTAGATCTTTTATTTAAAATGAATGCCTTAAAAGCAAAACTGTAAGCTACTAGAGATCTGATAAGGTTGCTAAGTAAGTCATGATGGTAAGCATGAGTGATTTTGAGTGGATAGGAAGCAGTGTTAAAATGCATATTTACACCATCAGATTATGCTGAATACCTTATATCATGCAAAACAATACACCTCCCCTGGAGGCGTCAGTGTCTGTCTGCATACAGCCTTGTCTCTAGAGGCAGCAGAGACAGGGCTACTGCAGAAGCAGTGGGAAGGGAAAGCATGTTGCAGCAGACAGAACCCAAAGTGGTCCAAATCTGCACAGAAAAGTGTGGTTGATCCTATTAGTTATTACTCCAGGTCAAAGACCCACACGACCTGCCAGTTACAACACCCCTGCCCTTTAGCTCACAGCTGCTCTTAGCTGGGACACAACTCATCTGCTAGGCTGCATGCAAGGTGAGTATGGGCTAGAGGGAGGTGCCAAAGAGACTGGGTGACCATCTCCAGCCAATGTTTTTAGTCAGGTCATTTTTCTGGTCAAGTCAGGCAAATGAACTGCTTCCAAAAGACAGGGAAAAGGGATGAGCACAGGATTGCTAATGCCGAGCGATAACAGCACTCATTTCCAGCGCCGCAGCCTGCTCCTTGCAGAGACGTGACTGTTCAGCTACATGGATACAGACATCCTGCTGCAGACATCTCGGGACAGAAGTAAAACAAGTGTTTTAAGTGCCAGCGCTTGACTGCAAGCGGCATAGGAAAGTCTACGTACTTGAACCATTCTGGGTGTTGGACATTTCTGGTATAATACCTCCCTTTTGACTACAGGTGTGACTCAGTGAAGGAGTGATTGTTAAAAGAGGAAGCAACTGCAAAATTTTTTTTTTCCCCTGCTGTCATGTGAAGGAAAGAACTTCTGTCCAGGTTGCTGCAGGGACAACTTTTCTCCCTTCTTAGAAAAATGGGTAGTTATTAATAGTTGTAGAATGCTGTTTTCTGCTTTGTTACCCAGCAAGAGTGAAAATTATGACACACTGGTGGTGAAAAAAGTAGTCCAATGAGATATAAATTAACTTCACTGTTTCTAGAGAAGCAAAAACAGTATTAAAACCAGTGCTGCAAAACCATGAAGATCAGGATTTAACAAAGACTAGGATGTAACTGAAGTAACTGAGAGTAACTTAGGACACCAAGATGTTTAATTTTGAGGAAAATGAGACCATGGAAAGGACAGACGGAATGAAAGAGGAGGAGACGCGGGAACAGTGCCTGCAGGAAGAGAAGCAGACTGGATGCCATGCCTCAGGTTGGGATTTCATGTGGAAAATTAGTAAAAAAATATATTGCACAGGAATGAGGGAGTCACGCTTGGTTAGGCCCACAGACCAACTGAACAGACAACAGTCCTGTCCTTGACTTTGCCTGCCCTGAGGTCATGGTCTTGTAGGATAAAAATTTGGACAGGGACTACCTGTATTTTGTCTTCGGAAAACTCATTGTAAGTCTTGGTCTCTTCTAGTCTCTGAACTGCTCTTTCAGGAGTAGTTACTCTTTAACTGATGCTGATTTGTCTTTACATTCTTGGAAGCATTCCTTCCTTTAGTTGATCCTTTCCTCCTAACATTATTCCTACACTGCAATGTTCCTGCTTCTCCTTCATTTCCTCCTCATTTCAGACTATCAAGAGAAACCGTCTTTTTCTCTGCTGCATTTCCTTTTTAGCACATGCTCTCACACAGACTGCATGTAAATGTGCAGCCTCTTCAGTTATTAGCATGTGAGAGTCCTCCCATCTCCGCTCAACTCATTGCAGGATGACAGGATTGTAAAAAGAGAGTAGTAGTTCTTTATGTAGGTCGAATACAAGTCATTTATGGACTCCTTAAACAAAAGTATCCACAATGTGAGGATAATAACAACACTTTACGACTCAAAGAAGTGGTCAGATGGGAAGAAATATTTAAATGCATAAAAGTCTAAACCAAAAGAGCCAGACAGTTCTGCTGATATGATTTCCTGCAGAAGTTAATCTTAAGTGATGAAGCAAGCAATTGACAGGGAGCTAGGAAAGCCAATTATAATGATGTCTTCCCTCTGTAGCTGAAGTTTTCATAAATCAGATTCAACCTGTCTGACAGCACAAACCCTGGCTTTAGAAACCACTTATCAGAAGCTGACAGTCACAATCGCTGCATTTAGACACAAAGTGTAGAACTGCAAAAAGAATCAGAAATGACTGTAAAATTATGAAAGCCCTTTTATGATCAGCTCTGAAGGTCAGAAAACATTTAAAAGAAATCACAAGAGGACACACAGATGTCACAAGGAGACACCATCAGGCCCTTTTCTAAGCTGTCTCACTTTGCAAAGGAAAC